TTTCAGGCATCCCTGTGTACAGGAATCGTAGCAGACGTGTGGAAACAGGCTAACATAGTTCCAATCTACAAAAGTGGCAGCAGGGAAGACCCCCTCGATTATAGACCTGTATCATTGACAAGTGTAATAGTGAAAGTATTGGAAAAGCTAATCAAAACTAAATGGGTAGAACACCTGGAGAGAAATGATATAATATCAGACAGACAGTATGGTTTTCGATCTGGAAGATCCTGTGTATCGAATTTACTCAGTTTCTATGATCGAGCCACAGAGATATTACAGGAAAGAGATGGTTGGGTTGACTGCATCTATCTGGACCAAAAAAAGGCTTTCGACAGAGTTCCACATAAGAGGTTGTTCTGGAAACTGGAAAATATTGGAGGGGTGACAGGTAAGCTTCTATCATGGATGAAAAATTTTCTGACTGATAGAAAAATGAGGGCAGTAATCAGAGGCAATGTATCGGAATGGAGAAATATCACAAGTGGAGTACCACAGGGTTCAGTTCTTGCACCAGTGATGTTTATTGTGTACATAAATGATCTACCAGTTGGTATACAGAATTATATGAACATGTTTGCTGATGATGCTAAGATAATAGGAAGGATAAGAAATTTAGATGATTGTCATGCCCTTCAAGAAGACCTGGACAAAATAAGTATATGGAGCACCACTTGGCAAATGGAATTTAATGTTAATAAATGTCATGTTATGGAATGTGGAATAGGAGAACATAGACCCCACACAACCTATATATTATGTGAAAAATCTTTAAAGAATTCTGATAAAGAAAGAGATCTAGGGGTGGTTCTAGATAGAAAACTATCACCTGAGGACCACATAAAGAATATTGTGCAAGGAGCCTATGCTATGCTTTCTAACTTCAGAATTGCATTTAATTACATGGATGGCGATATACTAAAGAAATTGTTCATGACTTTTGTTAGGCCAAAGCTAGAATATGCAGCTGTTGTGTGGTGCCCATATCTTAAGAAGCACATCAACAAACTGGAAAAGGTGCAAAGACATGCTACTAAGTGGCTCCCAGAACTGAAGGGTAAGAGCTACGAGGAGAGGTTAGAAGCATTAAACATGCCAAAACTAGAAGACAGAAGAAAAAGAGGTGATATGATCACTACATACAAAATAGTAACAGGAATTGATAAAATCGACAGGGAAGATTTCCTGAGACCTGGCACTTCAAGAACAAGAGGTCATAGATTTAAACTAGCTAAACACAGATGCCGAAGAAATAAAAGAAAATTCACCTTCGCAAATAGAGTGGTAAACGGTTGGAACAAGTTAAGTGAGAAGGTGGTGGAGGCCAAGACCGTCAGTAGTTTCAAAGCGTCATATGACAAAGAGTGCTGGGAAGACGGGACACCACGAGCTTAGCTCTCATCCTGTAACTACACTTAGGTAATTACACACACACACACAGAAAATGTCAGTGAAATTAGGAGGATAGGAAGATGAGAAATTCAAGAACCACCCCTTAATTAAGGGTGACATTTAATGGACTGAAACATATGGCGGAAGTGCTTAGAAATGCTAGGAAATTGCAGTGTGATAAGGTAGGCAAACTTTGGTCAATAAGACAAGACCTTTCAAATGAAGACAGAGAAAAGCTGAAAATAAACCTTAATGAAGCAAAACGTCTAAATGGAAATAAAAATAAAGAAGAAAGAAATTATTTATTCTATATAATGTTAGGGATTGGTTAGCTAGTGAAATAGTACATAAAAAATATTTTAAATGAGGTCGTATTCCCAAGGAGCTACTCAGTTTGAAGACGTGACATGAAAATTAGGAAGGGGAGGAATGGCTCTGCTGGTGAAAGAACGCCTGAAGGTAAGAGTTAATAACTGATAACCCTTGAGAAGTTTATATAATGGTATTGCAGGTCTGGAATCAGGATGATAAACTGATAATTGTAATTGCCTACAACCCACCAGCAAGCAACACATGGACAAAGGAGGAACTGGATGACAAACAAGAGGGCCTCATAATGGTCATGAGAGAGATTATAGTAAAAGCAGATAAAGATGAATCACAATTGTTAGTACTGGGGAACTTTAAAGCAATAGATTGGGAGGCCTATGAAGCAAGAAGGGAGAACATTTGGACAGGCAGATTCGTAAACCTCATTCTGGAGACATTCATGTATCAACACAACAAAGATGCCGAAGCAATGTTGGAAAATTCACTTTCGCAAACAGAGTGGTAGATGGTTGGAACAAGTTAGGGGAGAAGGTGGTGGAGGCCAACACCGTCAGTAGTTTCAAAGTGTTATATGACAAAGAGTGCTGGGTAGACGGGACACCACGAGCGTAGCTCTCATCCTGTAACTACACTTAGGTAATTACACCATACATTACTCTCTACAGCAACACAAGAGATAGACAGGCTTCCTGATCCTCCCATGGAACATAGGTGACCCCTCTCCACTGCACTACTGAGCTCTGCAATACACTCAAGAGCCCCCAGTCAACAGAACTTACTAGCCACGCAATATTTACAAAGAAGGAATCACCTACAGTATTTGGGTTGGTTGTTGGCAGCTAAAATGTCAGATGACCAGAGGGCCAAAACTATAGGGGAAGAACTACTGTTTAGTGTACTCTAATATCATCACTGTCATCACTGCTAACGTCCCGCTGGTGTGGCATACTTTGGTGGCCTCCTGTAGGATGCACTGTCAAGGTTTAAACGATCATTCTCCATGAGGAGGGAGTCTTGCATACCCTGCTCTTCCTGCACCTCTTGAGAGAACCCCACCTCTCCATTTTCTACGAATAACCCACCCTTTGAGAACTCGAGGCTAAGGTGGATGGGTCGACTGCAAACTACTCGGCGTGGCCAACTACTCCACTGGTCTTTCACAAGCATACTGACATTCTAGTATTATTTTTTGCATAATTAAAATTTAAACAGCCCCTTAGCCATAGTGTTTTTCTGGTATAGACAGACGCATCAATGAGTTGACTGGCAGTTCCACATTAATATTACTGATAGTTACAAATTAATATTTATTTTGCAGTGGAAGTGTGATTAGTGTGCTATGTACAGCCCTGTAGCAGCCTCTCAACCGTTTGGGCGTGTCGGGACATTTCATGACAGGCATTTCCTATCAATGAATGATTTCATGTTTAAACTTAAACTGCTTCTAAACGGTCAATTATTCTATCTTATTGCTAATTATAAAACTTAACAATAGCTGAACATATTAAATATAAACAAAGCATTTTTTTTGTTAAAAATAAAAAAAATCGCAAGCTGGTTGACTGGCGATACAATGACACTTACCTCCATGTCCCCAACACACTATTCGTACAGTTCAAGAAACCTGAAGAGCTTACCAAAGTTACCAGGCCAATTGGATGTGTATCTCAGGTGTAAGGAGTGACAGCCTTCCTTTAATAACAACTAAGACAGGTGCCTTATTTTATATTCACAGGCAGAAAATACATAGTTTCAGCCACAGAGAACTGTAGATCAGACTTGTTGATCCCACCAGTCATATCTGAATGATGACAGGCCCCAGCCTTGCCTTCAAAACAGCACCATTACTGACACAGCAAAAACACTTCTTACGGAACACTAAGCTCTGTATTAAGATCACTTATTACTACACAACACTAAGCTATCATTAACACTGAATAGTAACCAGCAATCATCACTACCATTATCTCCAGCACTTGCAACTAACCGCCATCACCAGTGTTGCAACACATTACCACCAACAGAACACCAGCAACAAAGATAACATCACCAACACATCAGCAACAACAATACCATCACCAACACACCAGCAACAACAATACCATCAGCATCTGCAACACAACTACCATCATCAACCATACCATACAAACAGCACCTACCATGCTACCACCAACCCTACGATCTCTATTAGTTATACTACTACCAAGCCTATCACCACCATCAACCCTACCATTTTCACTCTCACTCTCGGAAACCTGCGAGACGAGACTACAGTCTCATCAATCATCTCTCAAAATAGATGTCAATTGAGTATGACCAGTAGTTGTCCTGCATGAATAAGCGATATACAAAATAATTATAACATTAACAATCCTCTGAGACCAGTCACAGGTGTCCAGCGTGTCATAGCTGCCACTTTCCTTATTTAGCGCCCAAACTAGAAATCCATAGGACTGACAGCCTTCAATGTCACCAGCATTTCGGATTTGCCGCAATTTTTTTATTTAGTCAAGCACATAACGAACCTTGTCACAAGATAGCAATTGGTTGTATTTTCAAGACAACAGATGTTGCTGACATAGTCTTGATAGGAGTCCCTAAGATTAAATACACCCTAACAAAAGAGTCTTGAAGCAAGTCCCTACAATTCAATTCACCAAACATGAGAGTCTTCAGGAGAATCCTAAGATTTAACACACCCAAAAACAATTGAGAACCTGTTGTGTTGAGATGGTCCAGTGTAGCCAAGTCGTAATGGGTACCTCTTATTAAAGTTAGCAGTGTTGGTAAAAGTGGAAAATGAATTAGGACATGTAAATATTTGTAATACAGTAAAATACAGGTTGTTGTCAACATTAAAAGTGAATTAAGAAGGTGTAAGTGATGCAGGGGCTCGAGACACATGACCATTATCATAGCCAAAATTGCTTGCAAGTGATTTAATAGGGTAGTCTGAACATGCATGGAAGGTAATATAATTGGTGAACAATTATCTAACATGAATAAGGACAGTAAAAGTGAAAAAATTGTTAAATGAGTATAACTGCGACAGAAAACTGAAATATAATAGTGTTAGAAATTTGTTGAGGTTATAGTGTAATATTCATAAATTAAGGCATTTAAAGAGAGAGTGGATGGTTGATCAGCTGTTAATCACTGATATTAATGATTGAATGTAAACCATTCATGATTATGATGAAATAACAAATGAGAGATAATAGTTGTTGGCGCACTATTTACCATGGTAAGATTAACGAGAGTGGGTAATGAGTGCTTACCTTGATGGTCTCCCTGAGGATGGCCACTTCGCGGTTGAGATGGTCGTTCTCAGTGGAGAGGTTTTCCAGTTGGCTCTGGACCTCGACGCTGAGACCCCGCGTCTTCTGGTGCCGCAGTTCCTCCTCCAGCTGGCGCACCAACATCGCTTGTTTCTGGAATGAGAACCGTAGCCTTGTAGTCCTGCTGCTCTGCCCGGCATACTACACATTCTGCATCCGCTACAGTATCTAACCCACCAGGCGCTGAAACTACACTTGTTAATTACACAATTATCCAGCTAGTAACTACCAAAAATATCAGCTTAGTAGCTATCTAGCCTAGAAGCCAGCTTAGTAAATACCCTAATATCAGTTTGATAACAAGCCAGCTTAGTAAATAACCTAATATAAGTTTGATAACAAGCCAACTTAGTACTTACCCCAAAAATCAGCTTAGTAACAATCCATCAAGCCAATTTAGTAACTATCCTAAAATCAGCTTCGTAACAACATAAACCATATTGATATCTACCAATGTAAGGATAAAGTTACCAAGCAAACTAGCTTGGTTGTTATCCAAAAATGTTTCGTATCTACTCTAAGCCACTTTAATAGCTAACCCACAAGCCAGCTCAGCAAGTAGCCAATAATACAGCTGAGTTTTTGTCCCCAATAACTGCCTGAAAAGGTGGGTTTAAAATTAATATACAACTTTCTTGAAAACTACTTTACAGGCTATTTTGGTTGATACCATACAAGCAACCATGATAACTCTCCAGTTTGGAAACTTCCCCAACAGGCTTCTTGATAACTATTAAAAGTCTGAACTACCTCACAAACCCCCTTGGCAACTATACAAACCGGTTGGATAACTACAATACAAGCCAAGTATGCAATTGCTTCAAAAGGTATCTTGGAAAAAAACTACCTCTCCACTCGGCTTGAAATTCTCGCGAAGCCAATATGGTAAGTTTTGAAGTGAACGTAGTACCTAAGAAATGCCCCCAAAAGGAAACTGGCCCACAACCCAGCTTGGCAGCTACCTCCCAAACCAACATGAACTACCACCACCACGATAAAAATTACACACACTATTGTTCTACTGTTTATAAGCTGTTATTTTACACAAGTTATATCTTGAGATGATTTCGGGGCTTTTAGTGTCCCCGCGGCCCAGTCCTCGACCAGGCCTCCACCCCCAGGAAGCAGCCCGTGACAGCTGACTAACACCCAGGTACCTATTTTACTGCTAGGTAACAGGGGCATAGGGTGAAAGAAACTGCCCATTGTTTCTCGCCGGTGCCTGGGATCGAACCCAGGACCCAAGATCACAAGTCCAGTGTGCTGTCCGCTCGGCCGACCGGCTCCCCTTTACCAGCGGGAAGAACCTGCAACAGAGTGGACAACAGCAGAGAACATGGACAAGTGTCGTATCCACCTTGCCACGCCATTGTACTAATTCTATCCATTGTACTATTAATTGTACCATTGTACTCACCATAGCCCGTGTTACTTGGAACTGTTTGTTCCAAGTAGCGAATCTTTAACAACAACAACACCCAATACATTGCATTTCATTACGGAATTGATCAATCCTTTAACCTTTAAACTGCGCATGGCGTTTATATATGCCATAGGGTGCCAGGCACGATTCAAATGGCCCACAGCTACATGGGGTTCACATCAGCTTCCTCAGGGCTCTTGTAAACAGACGCCGTGTTTAAAAAAAATTGTGGGCAATATTCTCCGGTGTGAGAGCCACAGTACTGTTGGAGCAACCAAGGCTGGTGCATGCAGCATGAGCTAACAGCATTGCTGTTCAGCTTATGACCACAGCATCCTAAACTATTACAACCTATGCTGGACTCACGGAAATATTCCCTCACAATGGCAGACCAGTATTATTCTTCCGTTCCTTAAACCAGGAAAAGACCCATCCCAACCTGCGTCATACAGACCTATCTCCCTACTATCATGCCTCAGTAAAGACATGGAAAGACTAGTACATACTCGCCTCCAATAGTACCTAGAGTATAATAATAATATACCGTCACTCCAAGCTGGATTTCGACCACAATGCTCCACACTTTTGTATTGTTCTCTACTTAGACCTCAAAGGAGCTTTGATAGCAACCTTTCCTCACACGGGCTACAAATAACCTCAATATAGACCTCTCTCTACTCCAAAACCCAACTTACTGTTCCCCCTATTCCACCTTGGCTTTATACAACTCCTAATACAGCAATACAACTCGAAGACAACATTCCAAAGTCTGCACCAAACTCAGTCATAGCCTCAGTCTTTCTCTCAACAATGAAAAATTGCTACCCAAATACCACAGCGATTTATACAGATGGATCTCGCATCATCATGAACAACGTCCCCTCGGTCACTAGCGCTGTATGGATACCGGAATACCATCTCAAGCAGGGATGGCGGTTACCAAACCAACTATCTGTTTTCACAACTGAATTATATGCCTTATATCAAGCTATCAAGCTCTCCAAATAATCACATTACCAATCGGCGGGACATATACAATCTGCAGTGACTCCAAGAGTGCGATTCAAGCCATTACATACTCTTCAACAACGTGCAAGGAGTTTGTTTACCCATGTCTTCAACTTCATGAACATCGATTGAACGGTTATGATACCTCTATCCAATGAGTTCCAGCGCATTGTGGTATAATGAACTAGTAGATCAACTAGCCGAAGCAATGTACAACACACCTCACATTACCCGTCATCCAATTCCCCATGTTGCACGTAAAGGAGCCTTCAAAAATACCATCACCCAAGATTTTGCGACGAAATGGAAAACGTGATGCTCACCTTTGTACTATGGGTCCATTAAAAAGAAATGGGAAACTTGGAAACATGTCAGATATAAAAGCATAGAAATTGATATAGCGATGACCAGATTAAGGCTGGGACACACCAAACTGGCAGCACACAGCTCTAAGTACAGAACAGACATCAACGAACTCTGCATCCACTGTCAGGTGCCTGAAACAATCGAACACTATCTCCTATATAATATATAATAAACAGAAGCTCCCCTATGACTCTGTAATATCCCCATTGGCCAAACTATTATGTATTAACAACAAGACCTACCATTAATGTATGATGACTTACTGTAAATATGTAGCTCTTGTAATAGCACTTTCTCTGTAACTAGCTGACATTGTATCTATAAGGTGTGAAGGATTGAAGAAATTGTTTATGTAATAATCTAAGATGAGGTCTGATAAAGACCTTTTGTGCCCTCTGTAATGCTTTTGCGCTACCGCTCACAGGATGAGTATGGGGTGCACAATAAACTAGCCGCCTTCGGCGGCAACAAAAAATCCTTCACTGCTTCCGACATTATAGTGCCAGAGTAAATCTCAAACAAATTCCCTTTACCATCGAGCATATATTAGGAGGCGGTGACCACTCGTTACAAGAAAAATACCAAATAGTCAAACCACTGACCAAATATCTCCAGTCGACCAACAAATTGGGTCACATGATTGATTGATTGATAAAGATTAAGCCACCCAAAAGGTGGCACGGGCATGAATAGCCCGTAAGTGGTGGCCCTTTTGAGCCATTACCAGTATCAATAGATGATACTGGAGATCTGTGGAGGTGCGGCTGCACCCTGCGTGACGGGAGATGTCTCCCGTGGGGTCACATGTGACCCGCGCCACATTTATACCTGGCGCCACCAACAGCTAAACACAGACAACAACTGCCTCGTGGCAGTACCAAGGATCAGCTGGCGCCATGAACACAACACACCGCCCTACGGTGCAGCAAGTCTCCCTACAACATACACCTCTGTTGTAGTCGCCGCTCCTCCACCTACACCACAACCCAACAAGCACTTCTGAAACTGTTATCATCCTCAACATAAACGCCTCTACCAACATGTGTACTGGTGCAGTCATCGGGAGGATAAACCCTTCATGCAAACTGCACTTACTATCAAGAAGAAGACCACAGCATCGCCTAAAAATATCAAAATAAATATGTAACTCCTATTATTTAGTAATGATAATATTACAGATGACTCCTGACTGTGATAAAAATGACCAGGATTGTGATAATAGCAGGATTCTTGTGATAATTAGCGCTGTGTGGGAGTAGTCATGCTGTGGGAGGGAGGGAGATAGCGTCGTTTTCTGACCAGGGGAGAAAGATACTGGCAGTATGGGGCGTTAAAGTTTATTGAAGATTAAATTCTGCAGAACATGTAAATATATAAAGTTCACATAAAGTAAGTAATTATATAAAGTTTATATTAAACACGGTTTATATTATAGACTTAACAAAGTTGATATTATATAAAACTTAATAATGAACATGTAAATATACAAAGTTTCAAATATAATTTAAGGAATATATAACGTTTATATTAAAATATATAAAGTAAATATATAAAGTAAATATATAAAGTAAGAATTAACAGTAACAATTCCAAGGACTAGATTTAACTTAAAAGGTACACCCGTAGTAAGTATGAGACCTTAGCCTATAGTGACATGGAAACTAATTCTGCAGAAACCTAAAGGTTAACTGGTACTAGAATTAAGGCCGAGTGCAAATGTGTAGTAATTATATAACACTAGGATATAACAGGCAGGACACAAAGAATAACTAATAAGTGAGAGACCACATAACACGTAATGTACCCGGCCAAGAGGCCGTAAAAGACCTAATGGATAAGGAGAAGGGGGTGTGACTACAAGTAGGGCTTACTAGCACCTAGACTGGGCAAAGTATTAGCTGCGGACAGCGGGACACTTGGGGACCGGCGCTGCACCCCCCTTCCCACATGCAGTGGGGAGACAATCGGGACAACTGTGCAAAGCATGACGGGGGTACAAAAGCAGCCGCTTGCAAAGGGGGGAGGGTGGGGTTTTGCGAGGGCAGCGGCGAGGGCAGGCGGAGTGAGGCGGAGCCCTATTGTGCGCCCGTATTTATACGACCCCAAACTGCCCGCGCAACGCCGCGGGACGCGCTGCGCAATTGTTTCTTTCTCCCCCGCCAGAAACATCCCCGCTTGTGATGCAAGCAGTGACCATTTACTGACTGTGTGGTCACCTGTTATTGTCTGCATTCACCATACCAGGTCAGTGGTTCTCTATGGTGAACACAAATGTAGATACTTATATATAATGTGT